AGCTTGGTGATGAAGGTTCGAATCTCAAAGAGAGCATCAGCTACTTTAAAATTACTAGTGTAAACTGCTGACGAGTTCCAGGTAGCATGAGTCCAAAACCACTAGTCAACTATCTTCAGCTTCCAGATTACATTTTAACATAGGTCGATGTTGAGTCAGTTAAAGTGATGACCACACTTCAGCTTGACCGATGGGACTCAATCAGTACTACATAGAACTAAGTAAATATAAAACTGGTGACTACTTACTTATCGATCAGTTGTATTCAAGTATGTCTGTTGCATGGTTAATTATAAATGGCAAACAAAAATATCAGAATACTACTGTCACAATTGCAGTCTGATATTTAACAGTTCATTTATATTAAATAGGATAGCTATAAAAGCTTTTTTAATCAGAAGTTCAAACCGACTTATGATTTTTGTCTGGCTTTCACCATACAGTGAAAGGAAAATAAGACATCAAATATACTCATTGTAAACGGTTTAGTTATACTATTTGAGAATATTATTTTACATCTATGATTGATTGAACTGATCAATCAGAAATAGAGGTGAGAATAATTATAAATAGTAAAAATGTCTCTTTGAAAGAATAACAACAAACTAATGATTTTCATTTGAAAAATATTAGATTGTAATTAGATTTTTATAATTTGTTAGATATCATAAATAGTGATGGACTAGCTCTAAAACACAAAAACCCTGGCCTCGGTCTCTAGGGGGTTATGGGTGAGTATTATTGAAGAATCCTATCATATGACGAAAGAGCTTTCAGACAATTGTTTCATAATTTCCAATGGTTTTTTATGTAACTATTATCTAAAGATTGATCACAATGCATAATCTCATAGACATCCCTGATTGTATTACGTGATATGAAAATGTTATAGTGTAATGGTGGTATTTAATATACGATTAGTGGTCCGAAACAATAAACAAATACAAAAATTACTAACCATTAATTAGTTCTACTCTATTTATTGGTCCTGTTAACAGCGAAATCTGTTCAAATAGTTAATTTTAGGTGAAATTATTGTTAAATTAGTAACCAAGACAAGTTAACTTATTAAGTTAAACTCACCTTAATTTATAACATCAATGCATCTAGTGAGAGGTTTTTGTAATGATCTTAAGATTCAGAAAGCCAAGTTGGCCTTTACCGATTTACGTCACTCATGACTTAGGCAAGATATCTGTTTGGCAACTAACTCCATTGTAACTTATGGGTGTGAAACACGGTCTTTCAAAATAGAGGATACTCGTGGGTTATTATTATTCGACCTCAGATGTCTTCAGACCATATTTCATGTATTTTTCGACAACTGAGTAAGCAATGGAGAGAGTAGGAATAAAGTGCTGGACAAATATAGGAACTCAAATGACGAGGTATTGAATTTCTACCGACCGGAATGACTGAGATATGCATTGCTCATTCCCATCCACTAAGTACTCCAATATGCGATGATGGCTAATGTAGGAGTAGATTAGAAGAATGATGGAGGTAGCCGAACCAAGACATGACATCAATTCATGAAGACATTGACTGTCGGATTTATCAGACTACGTTGTTGGGATTCGGGTGGTTATTGTGAACGATTATTAGAGATCTTGAATGACATGGCTTGAAATCGTTTACAATAAAGCATTTGCATCCATTCTTTGTGTTCTCCTAAATCCTGAGATTTTAAATTACTCATAATTCATTTTTGGTTTTATTTCACTAACTTATATTCTGTATTCGAGTCGTAGCTTAAATGCTTAAACTTTTCAATTACCACTGATACTGTTACCACCTCTACTATCATGGATTTCGGCCTGAAAGCTTCATAGCGGTGTGCCGATGAGGTATGACAACTTGAACCGATGTAAATACGCACAGTTTGTTGCTTGTGACTAACTGACTGACTACTTAAATTCAGTGGTTCATCATGTAAAATGACAATGTTTGAGCGAAGGATATTGATCATGAATCTTAAAGTGATCATTAACACTCAGAACCTAAGTACCTAAGTTACACAAATTTTTTTTGTTATTTCGCTGATTTACATTTTCTTCGCGAGTCGTATCTTGGATATCTAATTTTTCCTACTACCACTGACATTGATATCAACTGTATTATGCTGGGATTCGCCCTGACAATTTTGATTCGTGGTGCTAATGGAACACAGCAATTTGAACTATTGTACACATATGCCAGACTCTACATTGAGTAAGACTGACTGGCGGACTAGAAATTAGTCACTTTATTGAAATGGTTACAAACTACTTATTCCATCCAGAAGTAGTAGTTTTTCTACTGATCAGTTGTATTTTTTAATAAATTATCTTTCACTGATATTGGTTGTCATTGAAATTGCACAAGAGATTTATGTCTCTTCTCTTCATAATTTTTGGCAACCTTAATACTGCTACTACTACTACTAATAATAATAATAGAAGTAATAATCATTGCAACGAACAAGCGTATGTGTGTACGTCATATGCAATTAGATAAGTATCTCTTTCTCCTCTTTTTCTTCTTCGATTATATCAGTTTATTGAACAGTATTAAGGTAATATTGTCTGCTAGCTGTCATGATAACAGTTAATTAGCTTCATTTTGCTTGATCTGCATCAAAAATATAGATAAAAAGTGGAATAGATATTTTTCTAATAGGATGTAATAAGGGGGAATTGATCAAATTGACATTATCATTATCACTATCATCACCAATACCACTATCGGTAGCAACAACTATAATGTTATTCAAAAAAAACCATTCACTTTCTTTTTGTCTTTTATGTGATGCTTTCTCTCCCTGTCACTTTTCGCCTTACCACTCACTGATTCACTACTTCGCTTGCTATCCATCTCTCTGAATCTCCACCTATTCACCCGTAACCAACATAAGCTTACCTTCATTCACCGTATGTTAATCAACTGATATGCATAATAAAATGTTGAAAATAGAATGAGTTTTTTCACGCAAAACAGAAAAAAATTGAACTCAGCATCGCCAAAAGAAAGAAAGATGATAGATGAATAAGTGCGCTCTGGCAGCAGCGAAAAAGAGAAAAAATATCTAGAGTAAAATCTGTGTGTGTATTTCTGTTCATTAGCTTCTTTTTTATTCTGCTCTCTGAAAGTATGCAATAATAGTCAACATAATGTTTTTTAAAGGGAAATAATAACAGCTGACATTAAAACAACTATTATTTTCTTCACAGATTGAACTCATGAGTCAGTTGAAGCTTAGCTCAATAAGTAAATTTTAAGAGTATAAGGGTGTGAGGCAGTGACCCATCAAAGACTATGGGACGTGGTCGTGCAATATCGTGAATTGGCTGAAGCTAGATATTAACAACATCTGATGAAGACTCAGTGGTCTAGAGGTTAAGCGTTCTCACGCGAGATCGAATGTTCTGGGTCCGAATCCCGCGAGCGGGATCGTGGATACACTGCTGAGGAATCCAATACTGTTCAGTATTTCCAGGTTTTCATTGGTAGTCTAGCTTAGATCGACTCGTGAATTCAACCGCGAAAATACTACATTCTCTACAGATACCTATACTGAATGTTATGTAAAAACAACCGAAAACATTAATAGCTTATCGTTTATGAATAAGCATATAAACATGTATGCATGTACATGTAATTCGTTGGACCAATTTTTGTTTGCTTCTTTCTAGAATCGGTTAACAGACTACAGACTTTAGTAATAAGGATAGTGGATTGGTTTATTTGTTAGTCTTCATGATACGTGTTCGCAGCGAAAACCCAATTTCTCTTTAAAATTGCATCATTTATTTAGTCGGTACGGCGTTCCAACCGTCGATAAGAAAATACTCAATACCACTTCAAGTTTATTTAGTTAGTTTCGAAATTATTGAAGATTATTTTTACAAATTGAACGATTCGACAAATGTAAATGAAAATGAAGAAATAGTAATTAGTAGTTTTTTACATTTGATATAGAATTTCTTTAATAATTCATAAGTATTTTTTTTCGTTTTGCATACAAATAAAAACGTTTTATTAATTGTATTGAAATCTCCTTTTGTATGGGTAAACGTTACGAGTATAAAAGAACTATACGATTAGATCTACATACTTATACACTACAACAGAACCTGAGTTGATATAAGATCAATCACAGCAATAATCAGTGTTATATTGTCTTGACCTCAATAATGATTGATTTTACTATCGTTTTGAAATGTGGCCATTAGTCTGGGTGGCTAGATATAACAGTACACTTTGTTTGACCCTTGTTTAGTAGATGTATTGGCAAGACACGGTGAACTTAGACATGAAACGATTCACCTTTAAGTGTTAAGACCCTATAACCAGAGATCGAATAACAACCTAATAGATCAGCGCTGAGGATTAGAAAATGTGATATTAACTACTATAAGGTGATCAAATAATACAATTGATGCATTTTAGCTCTACGGGATGTAACACTTAATTACATGAAACTCAAATTCAAATCATCTGAATGATTTCTGACGTGTTCAAATTCTCTATTTGAACTATTATGCATCTGTTGTATTGAGAAACATATAATGAAATAAACAAATGACTGATAAGAATTTACCATTACTCCTCGTTAAGAGAAGAATAATATCATGTATGTTGGTGAGCTCGACAAATAAAACTGAATTCTTTGATTCTCAAAAGTGCTCATCTACTACCCTGCAAATGGGAATCAAACGCATGACCTTCGGTTTCACTCTCAAATGCTTGGCCACCATACCATTAAGTCGGCATATAATAGTCTTAGTATCTAACCTTAATAATATATCATTTTGACTAGTTACACTTCAATCCGACAAACAGAAAATCAAATCAATATTCTATCAACAAAATGGCTAAAGTTTATTGAGAAAGTGTTTGCTGACAAGTCTTGGGAAGCAACGGTAAAGTTTGTCCTTAATTTCAAATTATGTTTCATTCAGTACAGTTTAATGTGGTTAAACATCTTAGTTTTGCCGATTTTTCGTTTTGTTTTTTTAAAGGTAAACCTATTCAATGTTGGATTCCACAAGAGTTTACACGTGGTTGGGAAGAATATGCTGAGAATTATTGCTGGGTATCTAATACTTATTTTGCTCCATTACAGCATAGTTTACCTCCAGCCCCGGATAGAGAGATGTTACTTATTGGTTACTATCAATGGGCACCAATTGTAATGGCTATACAAGCTATGTTATTTTATTTACCATGTCTTATATGGCGTTTATTTATGGCTCAGTCAGGTTTCAACGTTAGACGTATTCTACAAATGTCATGTGATTCTAATGTTCTACTACCAGAGCATACAATGAAAAATGTACGCTTTATAGCTCGTTATATGGAAGGCTGTATTTATAGACAAAGAGATTATAGGAAAAGAAAATTATCAACAGTTTTAGGATTTTCTCCTACAAGTTACACTGGTCTTGGACAATCACCTCATATACATGTTCATCAACACTATTCACCCTCTTATCCTCCTCATCTTCATCAACAACAACAACCACATTCACATCTGCACCATCCCCCTCCACCACCACCACCTCATTCACATACCCAGTCACCACCATATATGCCTACAAGTCATTTTCATCAGCAATTACCAACAGTTAATTCAAGACAATCACCTATAGGCGGTGATGAAAATCGTTACAATAATGATCATCAAATAGAATCCACATTGATTACATCACCACGTCGTGATTCTAATACATCATTATTCGATAAAATCAGACATAGTTTCTCTATAGATGATAATAATAAAAAAAGTAAAAAACGATTACCATCTGTTACAGAAGAAGCTAATACATTAGTTACAACAATGGAAACATTAAATTCTAGAAATAGTGGTGATTATCATCCAATGCTTGGACGTTTAAAAATTGATGATAGTCATACTCAACAAAATATAACAACAAATGTGAATACAACAAATTCATATCGTTCTATTCATACATTATCACCTACATTATATAAATCACAAGAAAAATCATCATTAAATTTACATAAGAAACAACATTTACATTATTGTTGTACATGTTTTTGTGGTAAACGTCAGGGAAATTTTTTAGTTCTCTTATATTTTTTCACTAAATTCTTATATTTAACAAATATTATTGGACAATTATTTATGATGGAAAAATTTGTTGGTAATGATAGTACATTTTATGGATTTCGTGTATTATATGATTTATTAAAAGGACGTGAATGGTTTCATTCGGGTAATTTTCCACGTGTAACATTTTGTGATTTTGAAGCGAAAAAACTTGGAAAAAATCATAAGTAAGTTGATTTTTTAAATTTTTATTTGATTGATTTCTTGTGTAGTGAATAAAAATTGGGAAGACCAATTAGTTATCTTATGCATAATTGTATAATGCCATCGTAAAATATGAAAATCATACACTAAATCCATTATTTGCATTTCTTCCATCGGTTGTCCTTTACATACTTCATGATTCTTTTAATTCTGTTATCATTATAGTTATTATATTTTTATATTCCTTTTCTCTTCAGTTCGATCTTCTCACTCTTCTGCTGCCAGGGATTTTACATCTGATTGATGTTACACACTACTTGTTTCTGTCAACATAAGTAGCATACACCACAGTTGTACACCTAAAATAACAGAAAATCGTATTTCATTAAACTTGATTGAATAGATTGAAACAGTAATATTTTTAGCACCATTAGATTATTTAAATTTATTTATGGTAGGGTAGAAATAGGTTAAAATAATGCGATTTTAATTGATTGCTTGATTAAAACACTTTTTGTTAGGATGAAACCAAAGTGAATCAAATTTCAGTAATGAAATGTCTGTATAGTGTTTTCATTAAAGGACTAGTGATGATTACGTAATTAAGAACTTTAATTTTAGTAGTTGAATAAACTATACTCATTTGGTTCCATACAGATTGGTCTCAACAGAAATATTCGAGTCATAATCTATGTAATGATGAATAGAAATATGGAAACAGATAAACGGATATAAATTTATATGACACCGAAACTATAGATTGAAAATTCTATTTCAGAATATTAATTTTTTACAAAATCCTCTTTATTTTTGAATGCTGGTTAAATCGTGAACAAAATTTCACTAATTTGCATTCATCAATAATTAATTTATGTGTAGTTGAAGTAAATTCATCCGGTCATAAAAACATTATATGTTACACCGAAAAAAACAGTGTTTAGCTATAGCTGTTAACATCTACCGTTTATACATTTAAAAGGTCAACCTGATATGAACATCTAATTTAATGATACTTATTTTGAATTTAACTTTTCCGAAGTTCTTATCTGTTAGTTTACCTGGGTGAAAATCATGTTGATTTTTCATATGACATCGATGTCTTTTACTTGTACATTTAAAAGTAAGATGGTGAATTAACAAATCAAAGAATCTGGTTTTTAGTTCTTTTTTCAATTAATTATTCTTATTCTTATTATTAGTTCAATGGAGTTTGAATAATGATGGATTTTCGTATCTTACAGTAGTAAGCACAGCTACTTTACGAAATTACTCCCATTAAATTGAAAAGAAAACAGTCTAGATTGAACAGTTTCGTGCATGCAAATAAGGTAATGAAAGTAAAATGTATTCTGTTCTACAAAAAAGTCATTGGAATCATAAACTAATCTCTGTTAGACGATCATTTCGTCCTAGGGTCGGACTCTTCAGAAGATTACATCTACGATTAGCTCCGAGAAGAAATTTCCAGACTTCAAATGAGAAGCCATGATCAGTGGAGCTAATTCCTGTTGAGTGTGAGACAGTTTCTCACCGAAGGCAATGGAAGATGGTCGTGCAATATCGTGGGTTGGTTGAATTCAGAAATTAACACCATGGGATCCCGACTTGGCTATCTAGAGGTCAGGCGTTCGCGCACGAGGGCAAAGTTCCTAGTTTAAGATTGCTTGCGGGGTCGTGAACGAGAACCATTCAAGAGCCCAATGATAAGACGAAACGCTCATTCAGAACTTTCAGGTTTTCAAAGGCTGATAAATATGGACCGGTTCATGATTCCAAAGAAATTTAACAATCTACACAATACTTTATTAAGGAAAATGGTTTGATAATATAAACAATTAAGTTGACCAAATTCTATAGAAATTGGTCTACATCATAGGTTTCATTTGACACAGACCGATTTTCTTTGGTGTACCATTGGAGAGCACTGACGTTTTTTCTCCCCAGTATAGGACTTCTCAGCAGTGTACAACCACGAACCCACCAGGGTTTGAATCCATGGCATTCAAAATTACCGGAACCATAATGAATTGCAGTTAAAATAGGTTTAAATAAAACGGTATCTAATCAAATCACATATAGTTTTATATTACTATCAATAAAATCCCATTCTTCAGTGTTTCAGTTTACAATACCAGAGTAAATTTTAACTGAAACTTGTTCATCATAAACCGCTTTGAAATAATTCACTAGTTGTCATAAAACGTTAAATAATAAAATTGTAAAATGAACGACGTGGTTGATTGTTTTAAGTTTGATCTTATTCAAGTTTTGCGTAAATCTATCTGTCTGTATGTGTGTGTGTGCATGTGCAAAATGTCCGTAAAGTAGATTTTCAGACTTCATTACAGTTATCCAATATTTTTACATTTATAACTGGATGGAAAAGAAAGTCGAATTAAATTATATACTAAACATATTTTAAATACACTAACATAAGTGAATTTAATGATTATAAGATAGAGGTTAAGATGATAATGAACTCAAGGAAATAAGCATACGCACTTCATGCATAAATGCCAACCTGTATGCATTCAGCATGTATATAATATTTCATGATTATTTCTTTTACAAACCAGAAAAAACTCGAGTTATATGTGCATTGATTGTATGCAACTTTTCATTTTTCTTCAATCATTATAATCTGAAATATAATTTTATTACCATCCGGTGTAGTAACACATATGTGTATCTATGTGTGTGTGCGTGAGTCTGTGCATGTATCCATATGCACTTCATACAGAATCACCTATACATACACTTACATTTTACAGAACACACAAAATCTAAGACCTATCTAAAAAGATGTAAAAAAGAATCGTTTTCTAGAAAAGAAAGTCAGCAGACGGTTTCCCTTTTTATTTAGTCGAATATTTAAATCAGAAATGAATTATGTGTCTGTTAATAATATCACCTAGCATAAAACATAATTTACACTTTTAATTTTTTAATATGGATTAATGAAGGAAAATATTTTGAAAAATTTCATACTCATTGTCTATTTCTACATTCAGAGTTTTATCAGAAGGGGTTTGTGGAGATTTTAGAAATTTTCACAGATTGAAATCATGAGTCAGTTGAAGCTAGACCACCATTGAAAACCTGGAAGCACTGGAAGTCTTAGTATGAGACTCTTTAACAGTACGCATCCACGATCCCGCCCCCGCGAGATTCGAACCCAGGACCTAAAAGTCTCGCACGCGAGCACTTGTTTTGTTAAAAAAATAAATTCGATGAATGTAATCATTAACCATCTGTTCGATATATAAAGGATTTATAATCATAACTTGGTAATGTCTACACCAAGTAAAGGAGACGATGAATTCATACTTAAAAATTGGTGCGCATTACTGAGGTGTTTCATACTAAGCACAAAACACCTGTTCAGTGCTTTCCGGTCTATCGTCCTTCCCTTACTGGTATCAGTTCGTGTGGTCGACTGCGAAACTGACTTTTTGGTTTCATCGTTATATTCTTTATTTTATTAATATATATGACTACATATTCCTAAAGGAATTGTAATCGTACACTGTAAGATTTCATCGATGTTGTTTGAAATGCTCGGTCAGAATGACTGACATATGATGGACATAGTATGTGACATATCAACCAATAAACAACTGAATACCGATTTGCTCATATTTTTCATGATATATATGACATAATTTTGTTTGGCGCTTATCAATTATAATATGAAATTTAACTGTTATAGTATGATATAATTGTTTTGAGTTTAACAATCTCCTGGTAGTCATACGTAGCTTCAATTAGACAATAATACTTCTAGTATAGATTGGCTTCAGCTTATGGATCACTGAAAACCTTAGGGGACAGGACATTTGTGTCGTCCTGGTACAATGCACTTCAAAGATCAAACCCAAGATCTAAAGTCTTGCATGTGAACGTTTAACCTATAGGCTACTGAGCCTGAATTCAGTGGTTTTTATATCTAACTTCAACAGATTAGCGCTATAACTCAAACAAATTCTACCGCCTAATTTGGAAGTTATTCCGGAAGTTCTACTAAGAAGCCATGACTAGTGAAGTTCGTCTGTGTCGGATAAGTGACAGTTATCGACCTCATCCATTAAAAGTTAATCACCCAATACATAAAGTTGATTGAACTTAGACGTGTACACCTTTGGATACTGGCTTATTGGGCTAAAGGTTAATTAGTCTCCATGAGAGCAGAAGGTCTTCGGTTCGATCCGGTCGAAGTAGTTTTTGTTTACTGCTAAGAAATCTCTAGTTTTCAATAACTGTCTAAAATAGATGCCTGACAGAAAAATAGAATTGTCATTGGAAACCACTTTACTGGAATATAATGTTCAGGTTGTAAACAGTCGTAACTGTTACACAGTTTCACTAACCAAAACAGGTCAACTAACTAATAAATGATTTAAATCAAATGGTTGAAATGTCAGTCAAATTAAAATTGAATTCAATAAACTAACATCAGTCTACAGACATAACTATCACAATCTAATCAAATACAATCTATGTAATACAGTGATCTAGAATATTATTTACTCTCTTTGTTTCAAGTATTATCTAAGTTATATTATTTACAGTCAAATCTTTGCATTCATATATACAATCATTCCATATGTAATGAAACTTTTACAGGATGTAATATTTTTTTACGTAAAACGATAATCGTACTGACATTGAAAAATTTACATTTAATACCATAAGATAATGGTTTGTTCAACTCTTCTTATTTCTCTTTATCTCTGTCGTCTTTGTAGTGTATGTGTGTGTTCACATTACATGTATGTACACCTACCTGTTGTACATTACTGGTACCGATTCTTAAATTGTCATGAGCTTAATGTAACAGAGATCTACAGTAAAGCATAAAGATTTATTTACCTTCTACAAAATTGTTTCCAGGTAGACTTACGAGGAAGTCAGAAAAAACGCCTAAGTAAACTTTAATGGTGCATATTTGTACTGGAGTTTCATATCATTTCGTTTTCATACTGTTTTTATGTCGATGAGAATAAACAATATAGTGTCCATATCT